GCCACCCCTCCGGCTGGAGGGAGTGTGCGCGCCCCCGGCGGCAGCGGCCGCGGCGCTGGGTAGGGCGGGGGGCCGGAGCGGCGCGGGCCTGCGGAGGCGAAAAAAAGTTTTTGGACAGCTTTCAACTCCGGGGGAAAAAAACATTTGTCTCAAGGTACAAAAAAAGGGGGGTGGGGTGGGGGGAAGGAGTTAAAAAACAGTAAAGCACAGACTGGAACGCATGTTTGCAAAGTAGATTAATGTTTCCTCGCGGGTGGGGGCTTTCAAGTGGAATTATTCTGGGGGAAGGCTGCATTTTGCAGGCTGAAAGAAGTAATGTGTTTTAAAAACGCGGGTTTGGTGGGAGGGGCCACAGAAGCTCTTCAAGGGGTTCTGCCAGCCTTTTATCTGCATTCCTCAATTTGGGGGGTTCTTAAAGCCTTTTTTAAAGCAGTTATAAATTTAAAATAGATTCTCCCCTCCCCCCACGGAAACATTTTACATTCTTTTGGTGATACAGGTTTTTGTTTGGGGCGAGGGTTTTTTTCTGTTGGTTATCTTTGAATTCTTTTTGGAAAGTGGCAGTCTTGTTTTTTGGAAACATTTTAACCCGTAAACACTGCCTTGGATCTCTCTTAAAATGGGATGGAAGGGAGAGATTGAGGTAATTATGTGGATATTTCAAACTAGAATATGTGGAGTATTCTTAGGGAAAGCTACCTAAAACTGAATTTGAAAATCTCAGAGTTATATGCATAATCTATTACTTTCAGAATGATGTTGGTGATCTAACCTTGGAGAATATCTTGTTAATTTTGCCTTGTTTGTGAGATTCCACTTTCAGTGTTTTGCAAGCATATAATGTAGTCTTTAGCTGAGAAGTGACAATTAAAATAATAGTCCAAATCATTAAGACCAGAAAACATTTTTACCTTAAGTAGCTTGGTAATTAAGACAGAGTGTTATTTGGATCGAATCAGTGGGGTAATTTACCTCAGTTCAGCACTTCAGTGTCATCGGTAGATAAAAGGAGGTTTTATTGACCATCTATGATGTACTAGCAACAAGTTTACTGAACACTCATAACATCCCTGGCATCGTGCTAGGCACTGTAAGGGGCACTAAAGCATGTGAGACATTCCCTAAGCACAAATTCATGGACTTAAAAACTACTAGACTTCATTGGGCTTGCGCTAAATTTGATCTCACAGTTGAAGTGGACTGTGAAAGTTAAATGGGAAAAATGAAAAAAGAAAAGCTTCCATGTACGTGGTGAGGAAAATTAGAGCAACCTGGAGAGAGTGAGAAGAAGGAGGAGGAAAGAGGAAGTTCTAGGCAGGAGCTCAGAAAAAGGGGTCAGGCAAAGGCTCAAGCTGAGTGGACAGATGGCAGTGGGAGCCCCCCACCCCAGGTTGGAATAGGGTGCAGTAACTCACATGGGCCCTGGACAGCAGGGCTGTAGTTTGGAGATTACATAATTGGCGAGACTGTGAAGAAGCTACCATTGGTTCTGGGATAGAGCAAAGGATGAGATGAGCAGAGTATACCTCCAACTCTGTCTACATGTTCACTTTCCACACGTGGTCCTACAAATTGGTTGGGTGGTGTTGATGATGATGACAACAAGAGCATTTTTTGTTTGTTTTGAGATTTTTCAGTAGACCTTTAATAAATTTAAAGAGAATTATGGTGGTTTTATTTTCTTAACATTGTATATTTCTAGAAGCAAGTATGTTTCTGCATTATACAACTCATTTCAATTCCTGGAAGGAGGAGAAACATTCTGAGTCTCATCCCCTGCTCCATCTTAGTAAGAGAGTTAGGGAGTGACACACCTGAGACTCATTTTGCCAACTTTTATCCTCTGAACTGTTTTCCTTTCCATTTGTTTTGGCTGTTTCAAGTGTGGCTTACTGATTCTTTGGCCAGATATTATCTACTCAGCACTATCACTTGTTGAGCAACTATCATTACCATGTATTATTTACTATCACATGCCTTATAACTCAATAAAGTAGTTATCTTTATTTTATAATATGGTTTATGTAGTGTTTTTATATATAACAACTGAATTGTTGTCCTATTTTACATGATTAACTATGGATCCTTTATGTCTCCAGACCAGTTTGCCTACTAATGACTTACGTCAACTTGGTCTCTTGTTGCTTTGACCTTGATTTCATTTATTCATTTGCTGTGTGCTAGATGTAGAAGGAGCAACAGTTTCATGAACACATATAAACCCAAGCAGGGAAGCAAGCGTACCATTTTATAATTTTAATTTAAATTCAGAGTAAATGTCTTGTTTATGATATATTGACTTTAGTGTTCATGTCAACAGTAAATAGTGTGAGCATTTGCTTTTAGGAGTAAGAATTCCCTGCTGTCTTAGACTGTAGTGTAAAATGAGTAGCAAGTCAAAATTTAGGTTAATTTTGCACTTTAATCTCTTAGATAAATGCCCCGTCACTATCAGCAAAGAAGTTGTTAGATGGTGTTTTCTTCATAGGGACTTTAAATGTTCTGGGTGTAAACAGAGTGCTTGCTACTACACTAAATAAACCAAATGACTAGAGGTTACGTATTCCTCCTAGTTGAAAAGCAACAGAAGAAAGCATAAGAGATTTTAACAGGAGGGGAATGCTGAGGGGCAGTTTGGAAAAATGCTATTTTTCCTAGTATTTAAAAAAAACATATGCACACACATATACACAAACATATATATGTCTATACACAAATTCACGTCTCCACTTTTCCTTTGTGTTTGTGTATGCACATAGACTTGCTACGTGCCTCCTCATATCTGCCAAAATAATGTTATCTTTTTAATACAGCCCATAAATTAAAGGTATCCTTTGATTTGACAGTCATAGCTTGTTTAACATGCTGCAGAAGTGTGGCTTTATAAAGGTAGTTTAAATGTATTGGCTGTAATGCACAGACCAATCACTATAAGCTAGATGAAGATTGTCTCATTTTTTATGGTAATAAAAATTATTTGATTCTGTTGTTAAAATATTCATATAATGATTGCCTTTGAAAAAACTGTCAGTATACATTAGATGCTAACTTGGGTCTTAGGGCAAGTCAAAAATGTCAAATCTAGCTCACTTGTGAATGGAGTCCTGAAGTTTGGTAAAAGAATGTGTGGAATGATATAGTGGACATCTGCTATTACTGAAACACATACCAGTGGCAACAAGGTCAGAGAGAGACTAATTGTTATTTAAAAATATTCATTCAGCACGTATTCTCAATGCCTGCTCTGTACTAGGCACTGTATGAAGCTCCAGAGAGAAGTTGGTGATAGGCTGCAGTCCCTGCCTTTAGAAGACCTCCACTTAACAGGCACACAGACCAGTTGCAGGATGGCAGGGACAGCCCCGAGGGTAGGAGGCCTGAGCCAAGCACAGAGGCTGGAAAGATAGGGGTCATAGGCTATTCCAAGCTGAAGGAACAGCATGGGCAAAGGCTCAGAGGACATGCATGGGCGTGGCCTCCAGGAGAACTCCCAGTGCTTGTCTTTGGAACATAAGTTTTGAGGTGGGGAGCCTTGAGTCTTGAAGGTTCAGCTGCATGGCAGAAAGGTCTCCGATGTGTGTGGGGCATTTGGCCCAGGGGCTGCCAACATTTTTTTTTTTTTTTTAAGCCAACCTTGGCCTATCTCATAATTTACACTAGTGTTTTTGGCCTCTGGGGCCCTCCCTCGTACCAGATCACTTAGCTTGGATCTTACGCTTTCAGGCATAGAAGAGAAATGCTTTATTTTTACTCCTGCCCATTTCTCTGTTGGCATTCTATTTGCTTAGCACTTTATTCTCCTGTCTCCCTGAATATCCACCCCCCTCACACTCCAACCCTCTATCAGACACAGGTTTGTTGTCACAATATCTTAGTGACAGAATGTTCATTTATCTTGAGCCTTTTTTTTTTCCTTCCTCAATGCTTGCCCAGCCCCTGGCCTCCTTTATTGTAAAGGGGAACAGCCTTGAAATGAATCCATATTGCCTTGTGTTTATTAATATCTCTGGAGGCCAGCATCAAGGGAAGACACAAGTTGTGCCTTTTTTTTTTAAAAAAGGGCAATAAAATTTTTTAAAAATGCCTGCTTGATGTTTGTAAGTGCTCTCAAGTTAGTACTGCCTTGCTAGCATTATGCCTTTGGTGTTCTTGGCAGTTATAGGAGATAAATTGAGCTCCACCACACTTTCAGTTTAAGCAAGGTTTCTCACTATTGACATTTTGGGCTGGATAATTCTCTGCTGTGGGCTGTTCTCTATATTGCAGGATATTGAACAGCATCCCTGGCCTCTACCCACTAGATGCCAGTAGCACCTTCCCCATTGTGACAACCAAAAATGTTTCTTGTCATTGCCAAATGTGTGGGGTGGGGGGCGAGGCACAAAATCGCCCCAATGTATAACAATTGGTTTAGGTAATAGATTCCGGTTGGAAGACCCATGCTGTGCAGATGGAAGGCTTTTATTATGATGGAGTTGTGGCTGTAAATGCATTGCAGTGAATGCAAAAGTTTTATTCTTTAAGATAAACTCTCCCACTCCAT